TGGAGGGGTAACCTGGGGCGTCTGGTCTGAAGGGATTGACAGCTCCTGGCTCGCTGGCCTCAGGGGCCTCCTTCCTAATCTCCAACTAGACGGGAGGAAGAAAAGTCAGGCACTGACTGGCCTTTGGAAAGAAGCTACAATCCAACCCTTTCCGTTCCATCCAACAAGCATGAGTGCAGTGCAAATCCTGGACAAAGGCTTCTGGAATATTCTGGGGAAATCCCTTCATTTTGCAGTCTGAGAGGGAAAGTGACTTGTACAGGCTACAGAATAAGTGGTAGAATTCCTGGATATGGAATTCAGACTTTTTGACCCCAAGCCCCGGCTTGGAAGATGGTACTTGAGAGCTGAGGATAGCCCTGTGAATTCCCTCATCCAATCCCAAAGTTTACAGATGGGGAAATTGAGACTCAGAGAGGGGATGGGATTTTCGCAGCCCTTACTTGTCTCAAGGGAAGAAAAATCATGAACATACTGCTTGTGTGTGTCAGAGGACAGACAATAAGCATTCCTAGGGGGCCCTCAGCAGTGCCTCTTAGCTACTATGGAAGGAAGAGAGGAAGGGACAGGGAAGGAGGGAGGGAGGGAGGGAGGGAGGAAGGAAGGAAGGAAGGAAGGAAGGAAGGAAGGAAGGAAGGAAGGGAGGGGAAAAGAGGGAAGGAAGGAAGAGAGGGAGGGAGGGAGGAAAGAGGGAGGGAGGGAGGGGAAAAGAGGGAAGGAAGGAAGAGAGAGAGGGAGGGAGGGAGGGGCAGGAAGGGAAGGAGGGATAGGGAGGGAGGAAGGGAGGAAGGAAAGGAGGAAGAAAGGGGGAAGGAAGGGAGGAAGGAAGGGGTAGGAAGGAAGGAAGGAGGGGCACCTCCCCCTTGTCCTTGTGCCAGCCATGGGCCCAGCCTCCAGTTTGGGGCAGGTGGCTGGGACAGTGAGGGGCCAAGTGAGCTGGCCCTAATTCCCCTCTCCCCCCTCAATTTATCTCAGCTAGGGTCAGGGGCCAGGAACAAATGCTGTCAAGCCAGCTGGCCAAAGAGCTCCCAATTAGACTTTGTGTCTGATCCTGAAGGCCCTGAGCCCCCAACCCTGGCACCCTGGCCCAATTACTGCCCAGCAGCATTAACCCCTCAGTGCCCCAGGCCGTTAATGGAATGTTAATTGGTCTAATGGGTTTCATGTCAACAAGTCCTAATGAGATCCTTCCTAATGAGCTTGGTAGTTTTTGAGTCTGTTTGTCAACACACTGAATTTGGGGCTCCGGACTGCAGGCCTGGTGGTGCAGCCTGGGTTGAGGAGGCTGAGGGGGGTGGGTGCTCAGGACTGCCCAGCCCATTTCCTAAAGGGGTGTGCTTTCCTGACCCTCATCCACTGACCCTGCCTTGCTGGCTCCTGGGCTCTGTAAAATGGCATTTTAGCTTCTTCTGATAATATCAGAGACACAAATAATTTCTTCTTGGATATCATTGTGGGGCCGAGTGTTGCATTAGAATTTTTCCCTCCTAGATGTCATATCATAAAGGTTTTCAGCACTGAACAAAACAAATAAAAAAGCAACCTTTCCCTGTCAGCCTGTCCGTCACGGGAAATCTCTCTGTGGGAGGTGCTCCTCGTCTGTCCTCCATTTGCAGTCTTGGCTGTGCCTCTTGAGTGCCCAGGTGTCTGGTGACAAAGCACTGGGTCCTCTGGACAGGGCCAAGCAGCCTCTCAGAGTCCAAGACAAAAGCTCTGAAGCCCAGGGCAGGGTTTGCAGGGGCTCAGGCCTGCTGCTCCCCTCCCTCTCCCAAAGAAAGTGCAAACATGGCAGTCTTCCCCCAAAGGGCTGGGACCCCCCCACCCTCCTCCACCTCCACTATGGCTCAAGGAGTTCTCCCACACCCCATGCAAAGTCCCAGCCAAGTCCCAGATAAGGCAAGTCAGATCCCCAAATTCCTCTCCAGGATGGTTGCACGTGGCCCCTCAGGAACTGGGGAAGTGCAGGTGTGGGTGGAGAGGTGTGAAGAAAAGAGCAGACTTCCGGACAGGGTGCAGGGTCCTGCAGCTGCTGAGCTCCCGGAGTGTCAAGTTGCCGGAGACTTATGTGCCTGAGCGAGCAGAGAAGGAAACTTAAGCCTCTGATGAAAAGGCCTCCTGTTCTCTTGCAGGAGAAGCCCCCACAGGGTAATGGGGCAGTGGCCTAGTGGCCTATGATGACCCCAAGGAGGGGGAGGGGACGGGGCCATCTGGGTCCTCAGAACATTGTCCCTGTGTCCTCTGCTGAGGCAGGTCTGGCCCTGCTCCACAGCCTGGTGCGCTCAGGACTGAACAGTCTCTTCTCAGCCTCACGGGTGGTTGTCTCTGGGCGCAGACTACTCTTTACCATCCCTCCTTACCCCCAGACAGGGCTCCCTCCTGCCGCTACTAATATTTCTAGGGACAGTGCCTCTAAAATGACCCTACCTTCCATTCACTGGACAGTGAACAAAAGAATATGAGTGAAAGGCGCCTTTCTGTGTAGTCTATGCCCTCCTCGTTGAGCCTCCTTTGTTTTCTCTTTATTATGACGTTCTAATTCATGGAATGAGGTTACCAAAGACCCAAGCCCAAGGTTAAAGAGAACTAGTCGCCCCAAGAGGGGAGAAAGCCCTCCTTCCTAGAGGCGGCTCCCACCCTGACTCTGTCCCCAGACTCCCTCTTCTGGAGGCTGCAGACACTACAGTGCTATAGCCCTTCACTTTTTTTCTGGTGGATGAGCATCTGTGATTGATGCTCCCAGGAAGAGATCCGCCATCCTGACCCTTGGGCTCTATCCAAAGTTGCCTTCTCTGCCAGAGTTCCAGGGAAGGCTATGCTTCATAGGCCCCTGAAATATTTCTATTCCCTTTATTTTATCAGGGTTCAAAAAAGAGAAATTCCATCCCCTTTAATATCTCAAAAGTCTTAATTCTGGAAGTTCCTTCTGATATCTCAAGGAGTCTACATCTCCACCTGCCTTTTTTCCCTCTGCAATCCTCCTCACTCTGCTCTTAGTTCTCTGGAATGTTGACCATCATCCAGACAAAGACCCAGCTGTGAACAGAGGCCTTGGTTCCCCTGCCTGAAGAGAGAGGCTTCCCCAAGCCGCCCCCTCCACCCTGTGTCCCTTTGCTAAAGGAAATCGGATCTCGGGGTCCAGAGGTGTGTGAGATGGGTGAAGCCCTGTGTGCTGTTATTGTGAAGATATCCTGGCGGTCTGTCTTCTGAAGGAGGCCAGGCAGGAGCGAGTGACAGGCAGTGAGGCCAATGAGAACCAGCCTGCAGTCAGCAGTTTTAGCACGGGGCAGCCATCCCTCCCTATGAGTTCTCCACCCACTGCCGCCTCACTTTCTTCCTTCCTACAGGACCATGACCTCCCTCCCCTAGCCACGCTCCTTAGACAGAAGACCTTGCCTCGTTCATCTGTCCCACCACACCCCCTTAAATAGTTCTCTGCAGAGTTGGTAGTTGGTAGACATCTATTGAGTGAAACATGCATTTCCAGTGCTTTTTGCAGAAGGTCAAAGCATACTTGGTACTTTGGAGACTCAGGTCAAGTCAGAGTAGATCTTACTTCTGCTTCCTGAAAAAGAACCAAAAGAATGACAGGCACACACACACGGCCCTGGAGGCCGGCCCCTTTACTTGACAGCAGCTCCAAAGCACTCTCAAATTTCCACAGAATTCAGGTCTGTGAACATTTTGGAAGACCCTGGGAAGGGTCAGGCTGGAAGAGGGTGCAGCCCTAGGTGCCTCAGGGAGAGGGGACAGAGGGTGTGAGTGCTGTGCTCACAGAAGTTTCTAGGTCAACAGTGCCCTCCACCCAGGAGAAGGACAGTCCTGCACTCCACAGAGTCTCTTAGCAACCTCCTGGCGTACAGTGGACAGACAACCCTGCATCAGGCAACTAGCCCGTGGCTTCCAGATGTAAATACTTCAGAGCATCTACCGTAGCACAACAGCTCTCTGGGCATTCCGTTTCCTCGGGTGGCACAGCCAGCTGTCTCCACTTAGGGCACCACATCCCAGTTCAAGAGGAAATCTTGAAGTTTCATGGGGACAGCTCACCTGCTTACTGGGGATGGGGAAAAGATGGGGGTACGGTGGAGCAGACCCAGAGCTGGGAATCTGGAGGTGCTGCTTCCAACCCAGCTTCACTAACGAGCCCCCCAACCCCCGCCCTCCCTCTCACAAGTCGCCCTTCTACCAGCCAAAGAGGCAGGTAGCCCATTTGGCTCTGATAGCTCTTCTGACAGCCCCACATTCCGGTGACGGTGCTGAACCAAGGCTGAGGAAAGTCCTCCCTAACAAGATGTGCAGGCACATCTGAGGCCACACCCAGTCACAAGCCCGCGCCTGGAAAAGTACCTTGAGTGGACTGGCGTGCCCTGCCTCTTTCCCTTCCCCAAGGCCTCCAAGCAGCCACCCTGGGGCTACAGTCTGAGGAGGGGTCCGGGCCCCTAGGTCCGGGCCACCACTAGGGGGTGTGATGAGCCCTGGGGAGGGGCGAGCTCGGCGCTTGGGGACCCTGGATCCCTGGAGCTGACCTGAGGCCTTCCTACCCCTGTGCGCCGCTGTAGCAGCTCCAGAACGCCTGGGAAACAGCGGGGCCAGGAGCACCCTTATCAGGCTGGTACTCAGGGCCCTCCCTGGGGAAGGAGGGGTATCCAAATGGCCTCCAGTCCCCCGGTGCTACCACCAGCCAGGCCCCATTCTCCTTCATACCCCCTCCCCACAAGCACACCAGGCCGGAGCTGATGCTGAACAAAGCGCCGCTGCAGGGGCACCGGTTGTTTTACATATGATTTGAATATTGTTTCTTTCAAGTCAAAATAGCACAGCAAGCCCCTCCCCACCCAGGCCTCTCCCTTAGCTTTCATTTGTTGCTCTGAAGGGCCTGCAACCCTGGCGGCATCCAGCCGGCCCAGGTGGCCCAGCGGGGGACACAGGGAGCTGCTGGGTGCCCAGGGTGGGCCCGCTGGGCGGTGTTAACGGTGCGGCCCCCTTTCTCCTGCCCACAGGTCCTCCATGTGAATCAATCCCATGATGCAACATGCCTCCCCAGCCCCAGCTCTGACGATGATGGCCACGCAGAATGTCCCGCCCCCACCCTACCAGGACAGCCCACAGGTGAGTGCGCAGGGGCCGCTGCCTCCACCACGCGGGGGGGGGAGTGTGGTGGCCTTAGAGCCCCAGCTGCAGGCTGGGATATTCCAGGGGCCGACGGGCAGAGCCAGGCCTCCCACAACCATGTCCTGGCGGCACTCCGGGCTCTTCCCTGTCAGCCTGGGGAGCAAGAGGCCTGCAAACACGGACGCCGAGGGGAGTCACCAGGTTCAGACCCCAGGACCTAGGACTGGAAGCTGGAGTAGGGGGTCACAGTCCTTTTCCCCACCCCACCCCACAGACAGCAGACAAGCACAGCCAAACCCCTTTGTGCTGACTGGGGCGAAATCCACAGTTGGGGAAACTCAGGTACCAGATGTGAGTGGAACCGCCCTTTGAGTGTTCAAGAAACTTCCTACTCAGAGGCTCCTGGGTGCCAGGCCCCTCATTTTCCAGTCACTTGGGCCCTTTTGTCCTCCTCTGCCTGCCTATCAGGTGAACCTCTGTTCTCTTAAGAATTCTTCTGGGTTTCTACTTTTAAAAAGCCGAGATTCTTTCTCTACCAATGGCAACCCCTTCCCTGTGGTCCCCAGCTTCCATCCCTTAGCTCAGACACAGCCACCCCGGAAGATCTTCCCAACCCCGATTGCCACTCCTGCAGCAGGCCCTTCCTCAGCAGTGTCTTCTCGCTGTCTTCATGCTGTCAGCCCTCCTTCTCCTGGAAGCCTGCCCAGCTTGTGGGGGCTGCCCTCCTGCATCCTTGAGACCAGCCACTTTTCATATTTGCTTCCCCCAGGTGTTCCTCTTGCCTGCCCTTGGTTCTTTGGAAACAGTTTTGTGTCTGTGCTTTCACAGAAACCTCTGCTCTCTGACCCTTCCCTTCACGCTCTCCTGTCAATATGAATTTGATCACTATTTAGTGGGTAACTGTGATGTGAAATGCACCCAGATAGAATGTCCATCCACACATTCACCGTGTGCAGTAGGTGCCCGCTGGGTGCTGTGGGCAGGCTACCATCTGCACTCCTCCAGCAGCCACTCTCTACCCTCCCCTGCCATCCCCTACTCACTGGCATTTTCAAATGCAGCCATTCTCATGGATCACGCGGAAGATCCGTGCAGCATGAAAAGGATCTTAAGATGCAGATGCCGGGCTTGTGCTCACTATGGCCTTGACGTCCCCAGCCTAATGGGAGCATATAATAGCTGCTTTCCACATCATTGTCATCCCCCAGGAGTTTACCAGATGCTGTGGGGCCAGTCTCTAGCATGCCCGGCATACGGAGCACCTTTGACTGCTCTGCCCTTGAAAGTCCAAAAGCCCTGGTCATTCGCCAACCTCTGAGCATGTATCTATGGCCCAGCTCCCACATATCAAATCACATTACTTGCCCAGCTCTTCCAGCCTAACCCCATCCTCAGTGAGCCCGCTGCTCATGCCAGTAGCTTCCATGAACAAACCACAGGGTTGAACTTGGCCTTTACATGGCTTTTGTATTTGAAAGCTTCCAGGTATCCAACACTATGTCAAGTCCCTTCCCTCTGTAGTCTCAGCTCCCGAGACGAAGTTCAGAAGGAGCCTTCAACCAATGGGAACCTTTTGCCTTCCAAGAAAGAAGTGAGAGGAGATGCTAGGGGCCAGAATGGGGGCAAGATCATCCTTTTTCGATAGAAACAGACCCATCCCCACTCCGCTCAGCCAGCACAGTGGATGCCCACATATCGATTAAGTGGTAGGAGCTTGGGCTCCACTTGTTTTGTAACTGGATTCTCTCTCCAGACTTCAGTCAGAATGGGGAACACAGATGGGGACCCTTTCTGTATTTAGCAGGTGGTAGGTGCCAAGGCCCACACCTCTATACCCAAAGCCTCAAGGATAACCAGGGCAAGGCTGAGAGGTCAGAGAACACTCTGTTGGCATGGCCGGTGCTGCCCACTTCCCTCTCACCCACCCCTCCCTGTTTTGACTGCCTGGGCAGCTGGGAGAAGTTTTGGTTTGGTGGGGATTATCGGGAGAGCTGCAGCAAGGGCCTGCGTTGAATGCTGATCCAGAAGCCTAAGGATCAGCATACAGCTGGATTAATAAACCCCAGCTGCCAAGGGACGGATGGAGGTGGGCTGCAGCCCTAACGTGCTCAGTCCCCCAGAAGTTACCACTGAGCTGCTCTAGCCTTTGGGAGGAAGAAGGGAGACACCACTTTCGTATCTAAGGTATCAGGCAGAAGCCAGATGCAGGCACTGCCCGAAGGCTCTCCTCTCGGAGGATCCGCCAGAATGTCACCATTTAAAATCTTCACATTTAGAGCAAAGGAATAATTTGCCCTGGGGAAGCTGCCATGTGCTTGTAACCTAGGCAATCCACGAGTGAAATGTCTGATGAGCAGCATCAATGTCCATGGTGAATTGACCACGTCAAGGTGTTGGGGTCTTTATGACCTTGAGGAAGCCACTAGGCTATGGCCAAATTGCCATGGGCCTTCCTTAAGCTGAGCTGGTTCCCAGGGGAACTGAGTGGGATGTGGGGCCAAGGAGAGGAGTTAGGGTGGGTGGAGTGGGAGGGTGGGGAGCTGGGGGAGCCCCCCCCCCCGTAAAGACTTCTGACTCTAGGGAGAAAGGCTTTTCTCTCCAGAGTGCTGGTATTTAAGGCCCTTCTGCCCACTCTTTTGGGCTTCTATGGGGGCTCCCTTGTAGGAACAGCTCTTCCCTGCGTGCCTGGCTGCTGGCGCTTTCTACAAACTTGCACTGGACCCCTGACTTCTTCCCTTTATGTTTTTGAGATATGGACTCCAGCTTCCCATGGAGAGACTCTACTGCATTTCCATGCAGAATGCTCATATCCCCAAGAACCAAACTGCTCTCTGAGACTCCATGTCTTCAGGGAAGCAGGGCCAGATAGGAATGTAGGTCGGGCATACCAGGGAATCCTGTCCAAAACAGAGCTCTCAGGAAACAAGGCCCACTCCCTCCTCATTCCTTTAGGTCTAATCTTGTTACTTTTGGACCCCCTACGACTTGTTTCCTCACAACCTGGGCAGCTGTGCACACCTCTCCATCAGCGCTTCAGAAACCCAGTTTCCTATACAGGCAACAAATGGACAGTCTCTGATATGAAGTCTCCCAAATGAAAAAGGAAGCGAGACACAGAGCCCTTCCTCTGAGACCCATGCGATCATTTTAATAATGTTCCCGTTGTGCTAAGGGCTAGCAATACCGAGCATAATCTATTCAAATGCACAGGAGAATCTCACTTTGGAAAATTAGGAATCTGCATTAAAAAATTCCCAAGCCCCGGACCTTCTTTATAATAAATTAGAATTTTTTTTCACGGCAAGTTCTTAACTTGGCAATTTCATTTTTGAAGTTTGGGGAATAAAGTTATTAAAAATGAGGGAGGTTTTTTTTTTCTTCCCATTTTAGTAGAGAAGCATTGGTTACGGCCTCATGCTATTTGGGCACAAGTCAAGTGTTACGATGGCTAAGCAGCATCTAGCCCCCCTCAGTTCTGTTGCAGTCCATCCTGTGGAAACTTTGCAATTGCTTGTAAGGCCATCATTGTCTGTTCATTGTGCACTGAAGGATGACTGTATGTTTAGGATAAAAGCAGGCTGGGTGAGGTGGCTCATGCCTGTAATCTCAGCACTTTGGGAGGCCCATGTGGGCAGATTGCCCAAGGTCAGGAGTTCGAGACCAGCCTGGCCAACACGGTGAAACCCCATCTCTACTAAAAATACAAAAAAGTAGCCAGACATGGTGGCACATGCCTATACCAGCAATTCAGGAGGCTGAAGAAGGAGTATTGCTTGATCCCAGGAGGTGGAGATTGCAGTGAGCCAAGATTACACCACTGCACTCCAGCCTGGGAGACAGAGTGAGACTCTGTCTCAAAAATAAAAAGAAACTGCAAAAGCAACAACCCAGTGGAACCCTCCCTGTGGCCTACTTCCTCCTTCTTGTGGCTTCCTGCTAAATTCTGCCAGAGTAGCAGTGCCCTCTACTGTCTAAATACAGGACCCCAATTCCAGCCGGCTGTAACTGAGTCCTTGATGCAGACCCCATCTTATTCCCTGAAGAGGTAGGGCTAAGTCACTGGGGTGGTGGAATTCTATAGTGATTGCCTGCCGAACACACTGTCTCTAGGGAGACCTGGATTTGACCTAGGTGTGCGGTCCTCAGTTCAGTGCGTTGTATTGATTCCAACATCACCCACTTCTGTTCTGCAGCTCTGCCACAGTGGGCCTGCCTGTCAGCTGGTCTTTCATGGGCCCCTCCTCCCACTGACCCTTCTGTTTGCTCCTATTCTGTTTGACCTCAGCATCCCCACTGACCCTTCTGTTTCTCTCCTCTCCTGCCTTGCTTAGAATCCCAGTAAGTGTCATTCCAGCCCCGCTCCCAGAATTTTCTTGGAAACACACAACCACCCTGTCACTCCTTCTAGGCAAATACCTCTAATTCTTGTACTCTCAGAAATGTCACTCGAGACCTTCCTGTAACACCCATATGCAACATCACCCACCAAGCAAAGTTCTCACTTCCTTAGCGCCATCAGCCACTCCAGGGAGCCATCCGGATTCACTAGCGAAGGCAACCACTTCTCTCCCCTCACCTTCCCACACAAAACACACCCTCACTATCAGCACCCCCCGCAACTCTTCATCAAACACAGACACATACCTACTGTTCCACAAATATCTTTGCCCTTGGCTTATTGGCAAGACAAATATTGTATCTGGTCTATTTGAGTATGTATTCGATGTTTAGTATGCCTCATTCTGCATGTCCCCTGCATATCAGCTACATGAGCATTGGACTAGAAAGCAGAAATCCTAGCAGATCCTAGTCTGACCCACTAGGCACAGCCCCTGTTGATGTAGAACTAAACTCAATGGATAGTTTAGGAACAAACTGATGGGGAGGTAGCTAGGTGCTTACGTAGCATCACTTGATGATGAATGGCATTAAAAGAGTTTTGTCAGTTCACCAAAGATGCAGCCTCATTTTTGACCAGAGGGAGACAAGACAGGCAG